GACCTGCAGTCATCATGTAGTTCAGACTTAACATCTGAGGAATCCATTGCAGTAAGTATCTGTCACATCACAGAATCACAAACCCTCATGAAACTGAATGAAGAGTCCCAGGAAAATGCTGGAGATGCTGAAAAATTGGCAGCAGAGGAAGACAAAGACTTACAATTAAAAATTGAATCACAGAACAAAATATTTGACTCAACAACTAGTGAAGCTGAAGGAACAGAAGAGAACATCAATGATGTTAGTGTGACATTAGTCAGAGAAGTTGAAGTTATTGGAGATACAGGTACAGTGGAGAGTAATATGACTACGGAGTCAGATTTTCTTCATACTTCTCCTGATGCACACATCGAAGCATTGAAAATATCTGAAAATGCTGAGAAAGAAGTTTCAGGAGAAACAGACACAATTCTTAAACAAAGTGACATCAGCATCATTCCTAAAGATTCTCACAGAGAAGAGGCACACTCAAAATCAAGTCCAGTTATTCATAAGAGGAAAATGGGCTCAACTCGTAGACCTCTCAAAGGGAATAAAGGACAAAGACAAGAACATAATGAGAAAGAAATCTTCAGCTTGGAGGATGAACCCAGTCCAGATAAATCTAGGTATATTGCAGTGAGTATCTGTGACATTTCAGAATCACAAACCCTCCCAAAAACTCATGCAGGGTCCCAGGAAAATACTGGAGATGTTGAAATAGTGCCAGCAGAGGGAGACACAGAACGACACTTAGAAAACAAAACATTTGACTCAACAGCATTTGAAGAAGAATCAGCAGAAGAGAACATCTGTGAAGCTAGTGTTTTAGTCAAAGAAGTTGAGTTTATTCGAGATACAGTTACAGTGGAGAGTAATATGACTACTGAGTCAGATTTGATTCAAAATGACACTTCCTCTGATGCAAAACAGGAAGCATTAAAAGTATCTGACAATGCTGAGTGTGAAGTTCAGGAAGATACAGACGCAATTCCCAAGCAAAGTGACACCACCATCATTCCTGAAGATACTCAGAGAGAGGAGGCACACTCAGAATCCACAGTTATTCACAAGAGAAAAATGGGCTCAACTCGTAGACCTCTCAAAGGGAATAAAGGACAAAGACAAGAACATAATGAGAAAGAAATCTTCAGCTTGGAGGATGAACCCAGTCCAGATGAATCTAGGTATATTGCAGTGAGTATCTGTGACATTTCAGAATCACAAACCCTCCCAAAAACTCATGCAGGGTCCCAGGAAAATACTGGAGATGTTGAAGCAGAGGGAGCAGAGGGAGACACAGAACGACACTTAGAAAACAAAACATTTGACTCAACAGCATTTGAAGAAGAGAACAAAGAGAACATCTGTGAAGCTAGTGTTTTAGTCAAAGAAGTTGAGTTTATTGGAGATACAGTTACAGTGGAGAGTAATATGACTACTGAGTCAGATTTGATTCAAAATGACACTTCCTCTGATGCAAAACAGGAAGCATTAAAAGTATCTGACAATGCTGAGTGTGAAGTTCAGGAAGATACAGACGCAATTCCCAAGCAAAGTGACACCACCATCATTATATTCAGTATTCAGAGAGAGGAGGCACACTCAGAATCCACAGTTATTCACAAGAGAAAAATGGGCTCAGATCTCTCACCTCTCAAAGGGAAAAAAGGACAAAGAAAAGAACATGATGAGAAAGAAATCTTCATTTTGGAAGATGAGTCTAGATATACAGCAGCGAGTGTCTGTGACATTTCAGAATCACAAACCCTCCCAAACACTCATGCAGGGTCCCAGGAAAATACTGGAGATGTTGAAATAGTGCCAGCAGAGGGAGACACAGAACGACACTTAGAAAACAAAACATTTGACTCAACAGCATTTGAAGAAGCAACAGAAGAGAACATCTGTGAAGCTAGTGTTTTAATCAAAGAAGTTGAGTTTATTGGAGATACAGTTACAGTGGAGAGTAATATGACTACTGAGTCAGATTTGATTCAAAATGACACTTCCTCTGATGCAAAACAGGAAGCATTAAAAGTATCTGACAATGCTGAGTGTGAAGTTCAGGAAGATACAGACGCAATTCCCAAGCAAAGTGACACCACCATCATTCCTGAAGATATTCAGAGAGAGGAGGCACACTCAGAATTCACAGTTATTCACAAGAGAAAAATAGGCTCAACTCGTAGACCTCTCAGAGGGAAACATGGACAAAGAAAAGAAAAAGAACATCATGATGAAAATGAGACACCTGACAGTGAAGGTATGATCAATGTAGAGAAAGAAACAATTAGTTTGGAGGATGAACCCAGTCTAGACGAATCTACATTACAAAGTTTAAAAGATGGAGCTAAAGAACAGGAGATGGAAATATGCGAGAAGAATGATGTTGGTCCTGTTGAAGGGTCTGAATCCGCTGACCTGCAGTCATCATGTAGTTCAGACTTAACATTTGAGGAATCCATTCTAATAAGTATCTGTCACATCACAGAATCACAAACCCTCATGAAACTGAATGAAGAGTACCAGGAAAATGCTGGAGATGCTGAAAAAGTGGCAGCAGAGGAAGACAAAGATTTACAATTAAAAATTGAATCACAGAACAAAATATTTGACTCAACAACTAGTGAAGCTGAAGGAACGGAAGAGAACATCAATGATGTTAGTGTGACATTAGTCAGAGAAGTTGAAGTTATTGGAGATACAGGTACAGTGGAGAGTAATATGACTACGGAGTCAGATTTTCTTCAAATTTCTCCTGATGCACACATCGAAGCATTGAAAATATCTGAAAATGCTGAGGAAAAAGTTTCAGGAGAAACAGACACAATTCTTATACAAAGTGACATCAGCATCATTCCTACAGTTTCTCACAGAGAAGAGGTACACTCAAAATCAAGTCCAGTTATTCATAAGAGGAAAATGGGCTCAACTCGTAGACCTCTCGAAGGGAATAAAGGACAAAGACAAGAACATGATGAGAAAAAAATCTTCAGTTTGGACGATGAATCTAGATATACTGCAGTGAGTGTCTGTGACATTTCAGAATCACAAACCCTCCCAAACACTCATGCAGGGTCCCAGGAAAATACTGGAGATGTTGAAATAGTACCAGCAGAGGGAGAAACAGAACGACACTTAGAAAACAAAACATTTGACCCAACAGCATTTGAAGGAGAAGCAACAGAAGAGAACATCTGTGAAGCTAGTGTTTTAGTCAAAGAAGTTGAGTTTATTGGAGATACAGTTACAGTGGAGAGTAATATGACTACTGAATCAGATTTTATTCAAAATGACATTTCCTCTGATGCAAAACAGGAAGCATTAAAAGTATCTGACAATACTGAGTGTGAAGTTCAGGAAGATACAGACGCAATTCCCAAGCAAAGTGACACCACCATCATTCCTGAAGATATTCAGAGAGAGGAGGCACACTCAGAATTCACAGTTATTCACAAGAGAAAAATAGGCTCAACTCGTAGACCTCTCAGAGGGAAACATGGACAAAGAAAAGAAAAAGAACATCATGATGAAAATGAGACACCTGACAGTGAAGGTATGATCAATGTAGAGAAAGAAACAATTAGTTTGGAGGATGAACCCAGTCTAGATGAACCTAGATATACTGCAGTGAGTGACATTTCAGAATCACAAACCCTCACAAAATTTCATGCAGAGTCCCAAGAAGATTATAAAGATGTTGAAAGAGCACTAGTAGGGAGAGACACAGAACCACACTCAGTTCAAACCGAAATCACAACTCTTAATTCAGCCACATTTGAAGGAGAAGGAACAGAAGAGATCATCTGTGAAGCTAGCGTTGTAGTCAAAGAAATTGAGTTTATTGGAGATACAGTTACAGTGGAGAGTGATATGACTATTAAGTCAGATTTCCTTCAAAATGACATTTCCACTGATACAAAATCAGAAGCATTGATATCTGAAATTGCTGAGAATGAAGGAAAAAAAGACACAATTCCCAAACAAAGTGACGCCAACATCATTCCAGAGGTTCCTCACGGAGAGGAGGTACACACAAAATTGAGTCTTAATGTTCAGAAGCGAAAAATGGGCTCAACTCGTAGACCTCTCAAAGGGAATAAAGGACAAAGAAAAGAACATGATGAGAAAGAAATCTTCATTTTGGAAGATGAGTCTAGATATACTGCAGCGAGTGTCTGTGACATTTCAGAATCACAAACCCTCCCAAAAACTCATGCAGGGTCCCAGGAAGATACTGGAAATGTTGAAATAGTGCCAGCAGAGGGAGACACAGAACGACACTTAGAAAACAAAACATTTGACTCAACAGCATTTGAAGAAGAAGCAGCAGAAGAGAACATCTGTGAAGCTAGTGTTTTAATCAAAGAAGTTGAGTTTATTGGAGATACAGTTACAGTGGAGAGTAATATGACTACTGAGTCAGATTTGATTCAAAATGACACTTCCTCTGATGCAAAACAGGAAGCATTAAAAGTATCTGACAATGCTGAGTGTGAAGTTCAGGAAGATACAGACGCAATTCCCAAGCAAAGTGACACCACCATCATTCCTGAAGATATTCAGAGAGAGGAGGCACACTCAGAATTCACAGTTATTCACAAGAGAAAAATGGGCTCAACTCGTAGACCTCTCAGAGGGAAACATGGACAAAGAAAAGAAAAAGAACATCATGATGAAAATGAGACACCTGACAGTGAAGGTATGATCAATGTAGAGAAAGAAACAATTAGTTTGGAGGATGAACCCAGTCTAGACGAATCTACATTACAAAGTTTAAAAGATGGAGCTAAAGAACAGGAGATGGAAATATGCGAGAAGAATGATGTTGGTCCTGTTGAAGGGTCTGAATCCGCTGACCTGCAGTCATCATGTAGTTCAGACTTAACATCTGAGGAATCCATTGCAATAAGTATCTGTCACATCACAGAATCACAAACCCTCATGAAACTGAATGAAGAGTCCCAGGAAAATGCTGGAGATGCTGAAAAATTGGCAGCAGAGGAAGACAAAGACTTACAATTAAAAATTGAATCACAGAACAAAATATTTGACTCAACAACTAGTGAAGCTGAAGGAACGGAAGAGAACATCAATGATGTTAGTGTGACATTAGTCAGAGAAGTTGAAGTTATTGGAGATACAGGTACAGTGGAGAGTAATATGACTACTGAGTCAGATTTTCTTCAAACTTCTCCTGATGCACACATCGAAGCATTGAAAATATCTGAAAATGCTGAGAAAGAAGTTTCAGGAGAAACAGACACAATTCTTAAACAAAGTGACATCAGCATCATTCCTAAAGATTCTCACAGAGAAGAGGCACACTCAAAATCAAGTCCAGTTATTCATAAGAGGAAAATGGGCTCAACTCGTAGACCTCTCAAAGGGAATAAAGGACAAAGACAAGAACATGATGAGAAAGAAATCTTCAGCTTGGAGGATGAACACAGTCCAGATGAATCTAGATATACTGCAATGAGTATCTGTGACATTTCAGAATCACAAACCCTCCCAAAAACTCATGCAGGGTCCCAGGAAAATACTGGAGATGTTGAAATAGTGCCAGCAGAGGGAGACACAGAACAACACTTAGAAAACAAAACATTTGACTCAACAGCATTTGAAGGAGAAGCAACAGAAGAGAACATCTGTGAAGCTTGTGTTTTAGTCAAAGAAGTTGAGTTTATTGGAGATACAATTACAGTGGAGAGTAATATGACTACTGAGTCAGATTTTATTCAAAATGACATTCTGTGAAGCTAGTGTTTTAGTCAAAGAAGTTGAGTTTATTGGAGATACAGTTACAGTGGAGAGTAATATGACTAAGTCAGATTTGCTTCAAAATTACATTTCCACTGATGCAAAACCAGAAGCATTGATATCTGAAATTGCTGAGAATGAAGGAAAAACAGACACAATTCCCAAACAAAGTGACGCCAACATCATTCCAGAAGTTCCTCACGGAGAGGAGGTACACACAAAATTGAGTCTTAATGTTCAGAAGCGAAAAATGGGCTCAACTCGTAGACCTCTCAAAGGGAATAAAGGACAAAGACAAGAACATAATGAGAAAGAAATCTTCAGCTTGGAGGATGAACCCAGTCCAGATGAATCTAGGTATATTGCAGTGAGTATCTGTGACATTTCAGAATCACAAACCCTCCCAAAAACTCATGCAGGGTCCCAGGAAAATACTGGAGATGTTGAAATAGTGCCAGCAGAGGGAGACACAGAACGACACTTAGAAAACAAAACATTTGACTCAACAGCATTTGAAGAAGCAACAGAAGAGAACATCTGTGAAGCTAGTGTTTTAATCAAAGAAGTTGAGTTTATTGGAGATACAGTTACAGTGGAGAGTAATATGACTACTGAGTCAGATTTGATTCAAAATGACACTTCCTCTGATGCAAAACAGGAAGCATTAAAAGTATCTGACAATGCTGAGTGTGAAGTTCAGGAAGATACAGACGCAATTCCCAAGCAAAGTGACACCACCATCATTCCTGAAGATATTCAGACAGAGGAGGCACACTCAGAATCCACAGTTATTCACAAAAGAAAAATGGGCTCAACTCGTAGACCTCTCAGAGGGAAACATGGACAAAGAAAAGAAAAAGAACATCATGATGAAAATGAGACACCTGACAGTGAAGGTATGATCAATGTAGAGAAAGAAACAATTTGTTTGGAGGATGAACCCAGTCTAGACGAATCTACATTACAAAGTTTAAAAGATGGAGCTAAAGAACAGGAGATGGAAATATGCGAGAAGAATGATTTTGTTCCTGTTGAAGGGTCTGAATCCGCTGACCTGCAGTCATCATGTAGTTCCGACTTAACATCTGAGGAATCCATTGCAATAAGTATCTGTCACATCACAGAATCACAAACCCTCATGAAACTGAATGAAGAGTCCCAGGAAAATGCTGGAGATGCTGAAAGAGTGGCAGTAGGAGGAGAAACAGACCTACATTTAGAAATTAAAGCACAGATCAAAACATCTGACTCAACCAGTGAAGCTGAAGGAACAGAAAAGAACATACATGATGCTAGTGTTTTAGTGAGAGAAGTTGAAATTATTGGAGATACAGTTACAGTGGAGAGTAATATGACTTCTGAGTCAGACTTTCTTCAAAGTTCTCCTGATGCATTGAAAGTATCTCAAAATTCTGCGAAAGAAGTTTCAGGAGAAACAGAAACAATTCTCAAGCAAAGTGACATCAACATCATTCCTGAAGATTCTCATGGAGAGGAGGCACACTCAAAATCAAGTCCAGTTATTCATAAGAGGAAAATGGCCTCAACTCGTAGACCTCTCAAAGGAAATAAAGGACAAAGAAAAGAAATAGAACATCATGATGAAAATGAGACACTTGAATGTGAAGGTATGATCAATGTAGAGAAAGAAACAATTAGTTTGGAGGATGAACCCAGTCTAGATGAACCTAGATATACTGCAGTGAGTGACATTTCAGAATCACAAACCCTCACAAAATTACATGCAGAGTCCCAAGAAGATTATAACGAGGTTGAAAGAGCACTAGTAGGGAGAGACACAGAACCACACTCAGTTCAAACCGAAATCACAACTCTTAATTCAGGCACATTTGAAGGAGAAGGAACAGAAGAGATCATCTGTGAAGCTAGTGTTGTAGTCAAAGAAATTGAGTTTATTGGAGATACAGTTACAGTGGAGAGTAATATGACTGTTAAGTCAGATTTGCTTCAAAATGACATTTCCACTGATGCAAAACCAGAAGCATTGATATCTGAAATTGCTGAGAATGAAGGAAAAACAGACACAATTCCGAAACAAAGTGGCACCAAAATCATTCCAGAAGTTCCTCACGGAGAGGAGGTACACACAAAATTGAGTCTTAATGTTCAGAAGCGAAAAATGGGCTCAACTCGTAGACCTCTCAGAGGGAACAAAGGACAAAGAAAAGTGAGAGTAGAATCCGAGGAAAAGAATGGAGATATTGAAGTATTGTCAGAAGTGGAAGACACAGAAACACGCTTAGAAATTCAAAACCAGGATAACGTGGTTGATCACAATGTGACACAAGAAATTATGAATATAAGAGATAATGAAGATGAGGAGAAAAAGACCACAAAGACAGTGGACATGTCAGTGCAGGAGCTATGTGATGATTTGGAACTAGAGCAGAGACCAGATGTATCTCAAACACAAACTGGTCCATCACAGGATGATACTGGCTCATATTTATTACAGGTCCCAGAAAGAACTGCAGATTTTGTTAGAGACAGATTTGCCTGTAAGAGTCATTCTGATCTGGTCTTGTCTGATGCCCTGCTTATAGAGGAAACACAAATTCATGAGTCATCTGAGGATGTTCCCCCGACAGAGATGGTTGAAATGCATCCAGTCTCCAAAAGGTCTATGCAGAAGAGAAAAATGGGGTCAACTCGGAAGAGAGGGAAGAGAATGGTGAATGACGAGGAGGTTGAAGAGAAAGAGGGGGAAACTGAAAATACAACAAATGATGATGGGACCACAAAGTCAGAGGAGAATTTAACTATTGAAGAAGCCATTGCAGGATCTCCTGTACACCAGCAACTGTTTAGTTCATCTGCTGATAAAGAAGGCCATGATATTCAGGATATTGGTAGTAAATCAGATGTGCAGACAGAAATCTCAGAACCAAATGATCCAAATTCTACCATAAATCCAGAACTATTGATAGAATCTGAATGTTCTTCAAATGTTGCTGCTGAGATGGTTTCAGACCTTCCATTGGGAGATGCTGACACATACTTAGGTCCTAAACAAAGTGTCATTCCTAAAGAGTCTCTTAGAGAAGATCAATCAAGCTTGAATCCAGTTGTTCAAAAACGAAAAATGGGGTCAACACGTAAGACGCTCAGAGGGAACAAAGGGCAGGGAAAAGAAGTAGAATCCAAAAAGATGGATAGAGATAGTGAAGAAATGACACAGGAACAGGATACAGAACCACATTTAGCAACCAGTGCAAGAAAAACTGAATGTAAATTTGATGAAGAGGCTGAACAAAACTTCCCTGTTGAATTTTCTTATCCAGTGGCTTCTTCAAAAATGTTCTCTGAATCAGAAAATGGAGTGAAGGAAGTTTCTCCAAATATCCATGACCTATCTGAGGTGAGTGAGGAAAAGGGGATGGAAAGTACTGGAAATTACAGTAATAGTGAGAATAAGGCAATCAATCTCTATGACGGGACAAAGGACAAATTTGTCTTGACAGTTAGTCACGAAGATGTTGATCAAACCGTGACTGTAGATTACCTTGATCAACATGTTTATGTAGGATCAGAGCCTGAACAAACTGAAAACACAGGCCATTCTTTTCCCACACAAGAACTAAAAAACACTCAGGATGATGTTGTTTATGAAATCAGTTCCACCCAAGAAAAGAGGCGAAAGATGGGCTCAACCCGGAGATATCCTAGAGTAATGCATGGGGAAAATATGGCCAATAATGAAGATGGACTTGGTGTGGCAGAGGATAGAGAAACTAAGAAAGCAGAAGATGATTTGGATGATATGCCTTTAGCATCAAGCATCAGTCAGTCCAAGGAAGTGTCTTCAGTCAGAACCACAGATCTTGAATCAGAAATGTTAAGTAGTGCAACTGATTTAAAAGGTGAACATGATCATCAGAACAATTCTGAACCCAGTGGACCAACAGTGCCTGAAACACCTGAAAATACCCTTCAAATATGTGATAATCAGTTAGTAAATGCTGATGTTACCAAACATCCACAGTCAGAGACTGTTACCACTGAGAAGAGAAGAAAGATGGGCTCCACTCGGAAAAATCTCAGAGAAGGAAGAATACAAGGAAAAAGAGATGGATATGAAGAAACAGAAACTACAGACACAAATCTGCAGATGTCTCAGGACTCTGAAATGAGCTTAGGGGAACAAACAACTCACGATTACTCTAATCAGTCAGAGGATTCACTTCTCTGTGAATTAGAAAGAGCATTAAATAAGACGTCTCAACATTCAATGAGTAATGATCGGGAATCAATCGTCAAAGAGCCTAACCCTGAAGACTTAGTGAATGCTTCTGATCTTAATATGTCAGAAAACTCCGAAATCAAATCTCTCCAGCCGACACCATTGGCTCACAGTGAACCCAACTCACCAGGAAGACGAAGAAGAAAAATGGGTTCAACTCGCAAGAATCCCAGAGAGCAGCTCAAAGCAGAAAGGGAGGATGAAGACAAAGAGGATGGGGAGAAAGATGAGAATTTAAAGACAGATAAGCAAGAAAACAAGGATCTTGAAAGAGTTGAGGTGTCTATAGTGCATAATATCACTGAAAACAAACTGAATAAAGAGTATCTTGATGTCTCTAGTGCACACACAAGTAGCAGTCAGCTAGAAGAGAGCACTAACCCTGTTAGCCAAGAAAGGACGTCTCCATCAACTAAAAGGAAGTTTGGGTCCAGACGCACTAAGGGCAAACAAGGCCTTGGTAGTCTAGCCGCTTCTGATTTTGGGAATGAATTAGAAGATGGAGATCATAAACCAGACAGCTCTGAGGTTGAGGACAAGCTATGCAGTGATGACTTAGAGGTATATATCTCTTTGTTTAGAAAATGTCCTTATATTTTGTACTTCAGCCCAGTGCCGTTTCTAGGCATAGGCGAGCTAGGCGGTCGCCTAGAGTGCCACCAGCTGAAGGGGTGCCAATGAGCGCACGTACTGGCACTACATTTTAGCAGGGTTGTGATAAAGAGTGGCACGGTCACTCTGAAATATGACTGCCGCCCCCACTGGATCCCCCAACATCACTGGGCTAGAGTACTGTCAATCTGACGATGCCTGTATGCCATTGGATCAGAGCGCTGTCAATTGCTGCCTGACGCTCTGCCCTGCATGCAAAGTTTGCATTTGGAGCGCTCATCAATGCCATTAGATCAATAGGTTCTGTCAGTGCTTTGGCAAGGTAAGGCTTTTTTGCCATACAATAAAGCTAAGTTCAAAGGCCAATTTAAAATATTGGTACAGTAAATAAAGTGCACAAAATCAGTATTTTGTTTAGGCAGTATTTGTGGCAGTTGATAAATCATGTTGCGAGATTTGTCCAAAAGGTGTGCGTTTTTGCGCCAATGCATTGTTAATAGATTAGCGTGTCATATTCCCATATAAACTTTAACAACCAATTACACTACAGCCCACCCGTCATCTCAGCACACGCTCTGCTCCATTCAATATGAACACGCTGAACGCTTCTTCAAATAAAACATTATGAACAGACAAAGTAAGTCTGCAGCAAGGCAGATCTTATATATATATATATATATATATATATAAAAAATATTTTTTGTATATATATATATATATATATATATGGCAGCGCCAATAGGGATTTCGCCTAGGGCGTCAAATTGGCTAGAAACGGCCCTGCTTCAGCCTATAATGGTACTTGCTTTAAAACACTAACAAATGTCTGTATTGTTAAGGTTTGTGATCCATGCCTCACCTTACAACCAGAGAATCAACCAATTGCCCATCCAGTCTCAGAGCAGAGGAACATGGAAGCCAAGTATGAAACAGAGCAATATAAGACTTCTTTGTCTGTTATAAGAAAATAATTTACTTGTTTGTTTGTTTTTTCAATTTTGTTTGTTTTTCCTGCTCCAGAAATGAAGAAGCTGCTCCAAAAGGCACTGGTGCTGGTCTCGTTTCTTTGGACCAAATCATGAAACATGATAGAAGCACTGGAGCTAAGCAGACTGTAAATCTCAAGAACAGGAGTGAGTAAAGTGATAAAACATTGTCATGCAATTATTTCTTAAAGTTTAATATCTAATACTCATCTAAACACAAACTCTGTCATATAGTTTCAGATGCTGAAGTAGTTCAGTTTAACATTGTCATGGTGGGAAACAGCTGTGTGGGAAAGACTTCCTTCATCAGACGCTTCCATGAAGGGCAGTTCACTGAGGATTACCGCTCCACTATTGGTGAGTGTAGTGTTGGAGAGCAGGCATTCTTGTTTACTGCAATTATTCACACTTCCATTCAAAAAGAGTCAGCAAGATTTTTAAAATGTTTTTGAAAAAAAGTCTGTTATGCTCATACAGTTTATTTGATCAAAAATATAGTAAAAACAGTACTATTGTAAAATATTATTAGAATTTCAAATACTTTTCTATTTTAATATATTTTAAACTGAATTTATTCCTGTGAAGTCATTACTCCAGTCTTCAGTGTCACATGATCCTTCAGAAATCATTCTAATATGCTGATTTGATTCTTAATAAACATTCCTTATTATTATCAATGTTGAAAACAGTTGTGCTGATTAATATTTTTCTGGATACATTTTTTCAGGATTTTTGTAACTTTATTAATGTATTTACTTTCACTTTTGGTCAATTTAATGCATCCTTTCTGAATAAAGGTGCTAATTTCTTTAAAACATCTTACTTACTAAATTTACAATGGTAGTGTATAAGGTGTCATGGTACACTTCTGTCAGGACCACTATCATCAAAGATGATTGACAATTAGCATACAGTTTGGATTGGCGGTATGGTTCTGTTCTGGGCAAGAACTCCCTGCGCATACATACAGCCTAGCATGGATGAAAGCAGGGAGAGCAGCGATAACCCCCCCAGGGTAACAGAACAGAACCAACATAAATGCATTGCAGATATCGTTAAAGTTCAATAATGTTATGTACACATTTTAGAATTAGTCTGATTCAAAGGAGAATCAGAAGGCTGAATCCTGACTGACAGAGGAGGAGCTGGGGATGGAGGAGGGTAATTAGCTATTGAGCAATGCGAAAACTGCTGATACTACTGCGGGACCTTATATATGAATACTTAGATAGGTGTCGTATTCCCATAGGTTGATGGGGATCAACTGAGAGTCAGCTGATGCGAGCTTGACTAACGTGACCTGCCAGAACTAACGCTATGCTAGATTATAGAAATAAATGATTTCTAAGAAGAAAAAATGCAGCAACAGACAGCCTAATGATAACGATCAGTTCCAAATGTATAAATATATAAAGGAGAATAACTTATTTTATGTTCAAATGTTATATATTTTATGTTTTGCACCCAGGTGTTGACACCTGTACACAGACTGTTGCTCTGCCTGACAGAACTGTTAAACTGCAGATATGGGACACAGCAGGACAAGAGAGGTAAGACATAGGAACAAATTAACACATGATGAAAAAAGTTGTTGGTGTGTAATTTAACCCAAAAAAAATCTTTATAAGGTTTCACAGCATCACCACACAAGTGTTCCACAAGGCTGATGGGCTTCTGCTCATGTATGAAATCACATGTTCAAATAGTTTTATTTCTGTACGGGATTGGATCTCTCAAGCTCAGGTATCTAATGTTTTCATGTTCCTTATATTTTAGTCAAAATATATGGAAATGTCCCCTTCCCTAAATTGTATTATGACAATGTTACACAAGAAAAGGGCTCCCGATGATGTCATCATGATGTTGCTTGGAAACAAGAATGATTCTGTAAAGCGTGCAGTCCAGATTCAGGAAGGGGCAGAGCTGGCCAGAGTAAGAGTTCATTGTGACCCGAAAAGTACTGTCCAATTGTTTTGCCTGAGTATATTTCTACTAAAAGTTTGGTTGTATTTTCCCTTCATTAGGAGTATAACATAAATTTCATGGAGTGCAGTGCTGCAACTGGGGCGAATGTGTCAGAATCCATGAGAACTCTTGCAGAGTAAGACTCAAAACTAACAAAACCCATCACACTAATTATTACTTGTTCAACGTGTGTTTTCTGTCCATGCATAAAGACTAATTTATTGTTGCTACTAGGTTGTTAATGCAGCGCAAATCACAGAAGGAGAGACACACAACATTGAGAAGAGAACCATCACAGAAGAAATCTGGTTGCTGTTGAAAACACACTCCCACACACACAACATGCATGACCATTCAAAAGTTTGGGTTAGTTAGATATTTTTTGTAGAAATGAATACTGTTATTCAGCAATTATGCATTACATTGATCAAAAGTGACAGTAAAGACTATATCGATACAGGGGGAAAAAAACAAAAAATTAATAATTTTCTGTTTATCAAAGAATCCTGAAAAAATGGTTTATAATTCATATATTATCACCTTTCCTGTCAGAGGAATAAATAAAACCTAAAAAAGGTAATAATATTTCACAATATTACTGTTTTAATTAAATGCAGTATTGGTGAGTATAGCAGACTTTACATTAAATCTTACCAACCCCAAACTTTTGAGGGTAATGTACGAACAATTTGTAAAAAAGCAAAGGCAAAAAAAGTAAGCTGCTTATATTTTGTTGCTTAAGGAGAATGTCATTTCTGTATTTTATAAATTTGCACAAAGTACAATAAGGATTTCACACATAATAATATAATCATAAATGTATTTAATGTCTGTTAAGTGCTTTAATTCCAACTGCAAGTGCTGAGTGTAAGTAAAAATGAATACAAACAAATAAAAAAAGCTATACTCTTACAATTTAGAGTTTATGAATGATGAAAAATCTGTTTCGTGAATTATTAGTTAGCACAGACTAAATCAGAGGTACTAGTCAGCCTTCAAAACACACTACTTTAAATAACAAAAAGCTACATTTAGCTAGAAATGGTATAGAATGTTAGAAAAACAAAGGATATGTCATCTCATTTTGTCATCATAATGTCAAAATTCATAGATTATTTCACTGTGAGGTCTTTGTGGAAAAAAAACAAACATAAGCAATAAATATTCATGTATACACACATTCATGACACACAACTCACTGGCTTAGATCACGGACAAACAGAATGGCTATAATAAGTAAACTGAGGAAGAGGGCAAATACGATGAAGAAAATCTGAGCTGCCCACTGACTGTGCGGCACTCCTGTCACTGCTCTGGACTGTTCAGAAGGAATCATGTTGGTCAGGTTCAGCATGTAGCCCAATGTCCAACCAATATCTGTGTCTGCTACCTGTAACCATCATACAATCTTATATGAGTACAAATCACACTGATGGGGAAAGTAAGGCCATATACAGGGAGATTCCCAGAAGTAGGAGGTTTCCTCATACTTCTGGAGCAGAGGTCATCTGATATATTGTCAGGTTGAGCACATGGCATGATGTCAGTTTATGAGCTGCTTCCACTGTGCTCTTGAGCAATGCAAATAATCTGAGGTTAAATTATATTCTCTAGCGATTTATGAATCACTGAATATCCATATTCAGTCTGCTATATTAATAAGGAGGAGATTGATCTGTACGCATGAAATTCATAAATTCACATTACTGAACAGCTTCATTTCGGTAAAGGAAGGCTAATAATTTAAACTGATGAAACCTTACCTGTTTCTCAAAAGAGATTTGATCCCAGGTGTTATTGAACTTGTATCCTTTCAAGAGAATAGTCATAATATAATGAGCAGAAGCACAATAATCTTTCAGATATTTTGCCGTAATGTTTGGATTTTCAGCGGTAAGCTGCAGAAAGAAATAACAGTCATAAAAATGAATTTAAGGATCAGTATTACAAAAGATAACACCAGCATCATCAAATGGACTCATATTGTGATTCATTTTCACTTCTCATCTCACCAGACTTTTTACTATCAAATGTAGGATTGCCATTTAGTATCTGTGAACTCACAGAGGTCCAGTTTTTGTTGCAGTGAGTCTCAATAGTGGAAAGAACCTGGGTCAGGGGAGCTTTTGGGATAAGTCCAAGGAAGTCAAAGGTGTAGAAGTATGCAGAAAAAGCCTGAGATGGACATAATAGTATAGCTATCATAAGTTATTTACCAAAAAAAAAAGTATAGTAGAGGATAATTTTGATATAAATATCACTTAAAATAGTAACTTGTAGGCTACTTCTGTATGTGTCGATTCAGTAACCGCTCTGATAGATTCAGCTGCATGAAGGATTCTGAGTGACAACTCTGTGTGTGTTTTTTTTATTTTTTTATTTTTTTAATATTCATTAAAAGAACCGACTCATAAGCATTCGGCATTCGTTCGGGAATTAGACTTTACTGGTTGTGTTTTGTGATTCACCAAAACGTACCGGCTCTTAAGAGTCATTATATATATATATATACTGTATATATATCAAATATTGTTGCAATGTTTGTGTTTCTCCATGTCCATATTAGTCCATGTAAAATACATACAAAAAAGTTTTATTTTGTGTAACTGTATATCCCCACAATAATTTTTTTAAATTTCCTTCCTAACATTAAAACATATAACTTAAATATTATGCTACTAGTAATTAATGAAGATGATTTGATAAGGACAGAAACACTCACAAAGAATTCGCCATTGACCGGAGGCTGATAGGCACCATTGAAGCCACAGTCTGGTGAAAATGCACAATCGGTCAGGTTAACAATGTCCTCCATTAGAGAAAGACAGAGGAATGAGTTACCCGTTCCTGAGAAAAGGACTGTAGCCGTGGTGTTGAAATTGTTTGGTTTGACCACACAAGGGGAGTTATAAAGGTCATCCAAAGTAAGACTGAGGTTATATCCGACATGGTAGCATGGGTGACTGATTACAGGTGAGGGTCCAGCAGTCTAGATGAAGCAGACACCATATCAGACATTCAATTATGACCATCATTTTATTGGTAGACACTTTCTTTCCAAATCTACGTACAGTAAATGTGTTGTGCTAAAACTAGTATGGTAAAAACCTACATAGAGATAATGAATAGAATTAAAAACCAACCTTGTGAAGGTAGACCTGAAGTTTCCTCAAAGCCTGGTCCTTGCCGAAGCACAAGTAGCTGTGTGTGTACAACTCATATTTGTACCCGTAGAGCTGGAGATTAAAAGCTGAATCTGGGTTTTTCACTGGGTCTTTTGGGGTGAATGAGATCTGTGTTGATGAGCCACCGAGATCAAGAGCTCCAAGGATCTTTCCTGCTTTTGGGTGGATCCAATTGCCCTCAAATGTGTGCTGCAAAAAAAAAAAAAAAACACACATTAGGAGTATTGAGGTACATGATGTTCTAACAAAAGAGAAGCGATTAAGAGTGATTAAGTATCATTTCTACTGTTGATTGATTTACTTAACTGAGTCTGTGTTGTCAAAATAACATGAAAAGCAAGAATGAAAATAGCATTATTACTGTACATGTGTTCAATGGCCTTTAGGAACAATGACAAATAAAGATATCTGACATGATAACAATGTAATAACTTTAGTTTAAAATGATTGATGTTGCATTGTTGGTTTTATTTATTTATTAAATATTTATATTTATTATTAAATATTTATTCATTAAATATAAAATGAGCCAATGATAATATGACATGAGAGAATCAGACGATATGAAATGAGAAATTATAATGTTCATTGTATCATTGTAAAGAAATGGGCTGACCCTTAAGTTTGAAAAACTCTGCATTAATAGCCACTCAGTCCTAATTTCATCAGTGTTGGAAATCCATTATTCACCTTGATAAAACTCTCCAAGAGATAGTTGATGGTGATCCAGCCATAAGCCCCCTCCTCCATGCCAGAGAGTATTCTGGCCCCTCGAAAATCAAATTGATAACTTTGGATTGTTTTGGTGACTTCTGCGAGAATGCTGTCTGCTAAACTTTTGTTCTGTAAGCTGTGAAACCAATGTAAAAATCAATGTAATCCAGTTCAATGATAATTATTTTTCCAAATATCTTTCCATTTGTGACCCTGGACCACAAAACCAGTCTTAAGTCGTTGGGGTATATTTGTAGAAATAGCCAAAAATACATTGTATGGGTCAAAATTATCGATTTTTCTTTTATGCCAAAAATCATTAGGATATTAAGTAAAGATCATGTTCCATGAAGATATTTTGTAAATTTCCTACTGTAAATATATCAAAACGTAATTTTTGATTAGTAGTATGCATTGCTAAGAACTTCATTTGGACAGCTTTAAAAGCGATTTTCTCAATATTTAGATTTTTTTGCACCCTCAGATTCCAGATTATCAAATAGTTGTATCTCGACCAAATATTGTCATATCCTAACAAACCATACATCAGTGGAAAGCTTATTTATTCAGCTTTCAGATGATGTATAAATCTAAATTTCGTAAAATTGACCCTTATGACTGGTTTTGTGGTCCAGGGTCACATTTATATGACACATCAGTCAGTTATTGATAAGTACAGTCACCCAAGAAGCCGCATGCCAGCAGTGGCACCAAGGTACACAGGTGTAGTTTTCCGCTCTCCTTCTGGTATTGCTGCCTTGGCAACATCCAAGCATTTCTTAAGACTTTCTCCAGCTGCCAGAGGGTTCTGTACATAGCTGGATATGCCATCACCTAAAAAAAATAAAAATGTTTTGACAGTTAAAACTTAAGTACACATTGTATAGCCTTCTCATAGGGACCGGGATCCCAGCCATTTAGGCCACGTGAATTTTTGTGATGGCCCTGTTGAAACGTTTTTTTTTTCTATTCCTTGTAAAACCTAAAGTGAATGAAGTAATATCGACTAAATGCATTAGATTCAGCTTTGTCACCTTATAAAGCATAATTTAATCACCGCAAAGTGTTATAATGTTAGGGAACAGAGAGCTGGTCAAGTTTCCAGCGCTGTACTCACCATCCACATCACAGCTCTGTTTCTGAGAGACTATTCCAGTGTTATTCTCTTTGTTCCCCAGCCACTGGTACAGGAAAAGTGCCGTGTGAGTGGAGCCAGCATCAAACACAATCCCATACTGAGGAAGTCAGACAAAGAGTTCCATAAATTTAGACAAAACTTTATTTATTGGGTGTGCTTACTTTCCCGAGAGAAACACACACACACATCCTGAGGGAAAACATTTGACAGTATCACATTCATGTTATACCACAGGATTCATAAAAATAGTTTGTGTTGAGGAATTGTATAGAATTTATTTGGTTGTTTGGTATACTTGTGGTCTGAAATAATATATTTTTTTCATGTTGTTTTAAGTTGTTTTTTTTTACCATGGATTGTTTTGTTTTTGTGAGACAGACAGTGTAAATGATGTGTGAAATACATAATCGGGGTTATACGCAACAAACTTCTGTATTCTGGAAAACAGGTTGCGATGTTTCCGGATAGTGTATTTTATATGTGCTTCGTTAAATATGGAGCTGTTTTACTAAAGATGCCTCCGTCACATATGCAGACTGATATCTAAAAGTTTATTTTTGCTCTTCTTTTCACTAACATTCTGATATTAAAATTGAATAAAACTCCAACAATAAAAACAAATAGCTAGGTTAGCTGATTACTATAGAAGTCAAGATACTGGCATCAGTCCATACTGCTGTTAACACTTTCTCTGTCAAGCAGGAGAATTTTGGTAACACTTTACAATAGGGTTCACTTTGTTAAGATTAGTTAAAGCATTAGATATCATTAACTAATAATAAACAATACTTTGCAATAATATGCTTTAAATATGCTTTAAAATAAGGTCAGATTAGTTGACCTTAGTTAATACATTAACTAACAATGAACAATATATTATATATACAATATATTTGTTACAGTATTTATTCATCTTAAACATTAGTTAATAAAAATACAAAGGTTTATTGTTCAGGTCAGTTAACTAATATTAAGAGATACAACTTTTGGTTGACACTTTAATTTAGGGACCAATTCTCACTATTAACTGTGAGCATATATTACTAGCATATTGGCTGTTTATTACTTACAAAGCACATATTACTGCCTTATTCTGCATGACCATATTTTGGATTCCTTACTCCTACCCCAAACCTGAACTTAACAACTACCTTACTATTTATTAATAAGCAGCAAATTAGGAATAGTTACTAGTCAGTTAATAGTGAGAATTGACTCCCAAACTAAAGTGTGACCAGCTTTTGATTTTATTAGTCAATGTTGAAATTCACATTAACTGAGATTAACAATTTTTCATTGTGTTCATCTTATTAACTAATGTTAACAAATTAAACCTAACTGTAAAGTGTTACAGAATTTATTAATTTAGGTTCATGTTAATTTCAACAAATACTGATACATTAACATTTCAGCTTGAAATGTTAATGTGTATAGTTAGTTGTAAAGTGGTCTACAAAAGTGGTCTCTACAAAAGTGGTCATGAATAAAAAAATATTTTTAATTCTTCATAGCTCAAACTGTGACCTTTGAAAAGTTTAACATAAAAAAGAACGTATTTTTTAAATGTTTCAAAGTCAACAAATTGTAGGAATGACCAGTGTCACACCTTCAACTGTTATCCGACACCACCAATATATATTTATTATAATATCCGATAAAGCAAATATTGACGCCTTTTCAGATTATCTGTTTTTAATAAACAACATGTAGTGCAAGCAGAAGAAATTTTCTGATGGGTATCTCTTATAGTGTTGACTTTTACAACTCAGACGAACTTCTCACAGAACCGCATTAATCTATTAAAAATCTATACAAAAGCACATTGTAACTGACAGTTGAACATCTTTGCACCTGTGTTAAGTATGGCCGATCCAAAGTCTGATGATTGGCAAGAGAGAGAATCAAAGCGATGATGGTTGTACAAGCTACGGCTGCCATTGCAGCACCCAGCAATAAAGCTTTCATCTGAATTCCCATATCTGCAATCTGTCCAGAAGCAAAACAAATATGCACTACAGGTACAAGGATGATCCACAAATATGTGAAGTTCATTTCATGCATGCCAAAGTTAAATAATCAAATCCTGTTTCAGACACATTAATTTGTCATAGCTTTGTTTACACTTCACATGCACATTCAAGTCTACAAGTGCACAAGATCAAGAGAATCAATTATTAACCGAGATCTTCAATTAATCTTTTATGTTTTAAAGCTGATTGGCAGATAACAGTCTTACCTTCTTCCCTCTCCTTTACCTGTCCGGATGAACTTTGTTTATGAACCTATACGTGCCTGTGTATTGAAGACAGGTATGTGCAATGTTGATACCTCCACACCTTTACTCCAGCCAGGGCCTTTGGGAACTGAAGTTATACTCCCACTTCCCCAGTATATCTTCAGCTCATTACACACACACACACACACACACACACACACATAACACTCTCACTAACTTTTCCTCTTTTACACACACAGTCAAGTACTACACCTCACATACTCACAAACACACACCCTGGTTTACAACCTCAAAGTTTCATTGGACCAAATATCCTCTCTTATTTTTATGTATCAATATCACAAGTTGAATCATTTATAGGAAGTTTTCTTAAAGAATTTGACAGGAACTGTGGGAACTGATAAAAAACCTTATCTGAATAAAACCGAAAGCATGCGCTAACCTCATTCACCAATAACAACTGTTACTTAATAACTAATCTCTCTTTGACTCTGTTGTGTTAAAGTCCTTGGTTTAACAGCGTAGTTAGAGCACAACACAAATTTACACAGACGGATTTAACTGAAAAGCACCCTTTTACCATTTGTAGAAGAATATTGTTGCTGGATGAAATCTCTTTCACAATGTTATGAAATCTGATTAAACTACACTGATATTTAGTCTTAGAATAAATGTGTTGAAAAAAAAAACATAGTTAAGTATTTAATTAAAATAATGAAAGAGTTGAGTAAACCCAAGTGAATACCACTCACTGAAGTTGAAGCAAAATGATTTAGTATACATTGCAAATCAGTTACATTATGAAAACAAGTATTTTTGACAAAGTTACGGTTATCGTTATTTGTTAGAAATATAATATTTTCAAACCTCACCTTTTCGACTTAGTCATTAACGTCTTGTTCTAGTGAGATGTCAAAACAAAGATTATTAAAATGATGGTTGGACTTAAAATAAGAATTCTGTTATCAATTACTGTACATTCTGTATGACTGTATTTTTCTGTGGAGCTTAAAATATGATATTTTCAGGGGGGGGGGGAACTTGGTACACAAGTTGAAACATTCTTCGAAATATCTTTAAGTTACAAACACTCTATGGACTTTTAATAGTCCTTTGAATGTCCACCAATAAGTTGCAACCAGCAACACCAGTAAATAATAGACTAAATGTTAAAATATATTGGTCATTATTTTTTATCTTTCTCAGTTCTTTCTTTCTTAATAAACAAACAAACAAGCAAACAAATAATTCAAAAATCAAAAGTAGTTGGTTGATGAATGGATATTTCCTTCACTGACTCTTAAGCAGTCTGGAATTCCTTTTTCTCCTATATGAGGAACTTTTGGCAAAAGTTACCTTTTAACTGGTTATGTAGACTAGATACTTTAAATGACAAGGAACAACTGCTAGTCTTTTAGTAACACTTTAAATTGGGGAATGCATATTCACTATTAACTAAGAGTTTTCCCTCAATTAACTCCTAATTATTGATCGTAAGTAAGGTAGTTGTTGTAGTGGTTATATATTAGGGTTAAGGGGTCTAGAATATGCAGAATAAATAATTAAAATGTGTTTTATAAGTACTAATAAACACCCAATATGCTAGTAATATGCATGCTAATAAGCAATATTCAGTAGTGTTCCCTAATCTTAAGTGTTACTATTCTTTTATATGGATAACACATTACTAGCATAAACAGACTCTTACTGTGCATTTCTATGGAAATACAATAGAGATAAGTAATAGCAGTAAATGGATAAATATCTGTTCGATAATCCTGTGGGGGCCGTGACATTGTCAACAGGTTTAAGACTCATTGCTTGAGCCACATGATGTTCAGTTCATTTTGAGAAGCAAAACTTATCTGCGACAAGTAAAAAGTTAGTCAGATGACTGGTGACTTTTTGCTGACTTGTTATTTGCTGTAACTATTTTCTTAATTAGTCACATTCAACAGTGTTACTGATTTGGCCAGTAAAATTCTCCACCCTAACATGACATAAAATATACAGTGATTCTAAGCAAATAACATGCATTATCAGATTAAAGGTTATTATAATCTGTCACATCCTTGTGGGTTTGGTCGGTGAAAACTTAGTTCTGCTATGACAACTCTCAGAGAGTTTAGCATGGTAATATACATGGCAATGTCAATGTGTTTGGTCTTGGTGGAATAGATCTGCTACGTTGCTGCCGTTACAGAGCAAGTATGTGTGTGTGTGTGTGTGTGTGTATAAAGGGTGTGTGGGTATATATATATATATATATATATAT